GATAGATAGATAGATAGATAGATAGATAGATAGATAGATAGATAGATAGATAGACATATAATACATACATACATATGTATATGTATGTATTTAAAAAACATAACAATGATAATTTTTTAAGGTTTACAAAACAATTTACAAATATTATCCCAGTTGATCCTCACAAGAACCTTGGAAGGTACGTGCTATCATTAGCTTCATTTTTCAGATGAGAACACTGAGGCCGATGAAAGTTATATGACTTTCTCAGGGTCACCCAGCTAGTTATTTAGTATCTGAGGCTGGATATGAACTTGGGTCTTGATGACTTCAGGGCTCTATCTACCTGGCTGCTTCTGCTGTTTCCTACCTTCTTGACCTTTTGACCCTTTCCCCCTCTGGGCATCAGTTTCCTCCTTTCTAACCTGAGAGGGGCAGATCTGATGATCTCTGAGGTCCCTTTCATCTCTAAATCTATGCTCCTGTAGCCATGGGCGGATCTAGGATTGGAATCAGTGGATAATTAATAATTAACAATGGATTGAGTAAGGGTATACCATGTGTCCAAGAGCTGAAGAATCAAAGGCAAGAATAAAGTAGTCCCTGCCCTCAGAGAGCTTATATCCTAACGAGAGAGACCCTGTATATACATAGGCGGGCGCATACCAGATATATGCCGAGCAGTCCCAAGGTGCTCTTGAGTGGGAAGGTCTTGAAACCAGAGCCCAGGTCTCTTGACTCTGAGACCTGGGATCTGTCTGCTGCCTGGATGCTCACTGCCTCTCTCATAGGTTGGGTTCAGGCTGTAAGGGCCTTGAATACTAGGCTGTGGCCATGGGGCCCCTTTCTGGAGGCTGAGTGGGGGAGGGCAGGAGCTCCCAGCATGGCTTCTCAGGGTCCCCGACTGTGGCCTAGGGCCTCAGTATGCCACCCTTCCCCCATAATAGAGCAGTAACAAGAGCCATTTCTGGGTGGGAGTAGGGGGTGACCCTAGGAAAGGAGATCTTGGGGGGGTGTTGTGAAGGGGGAAATGAGGGAGACACGAGCTGAAGGGGCCAGGACTGACCTTCTCTCTCTTTCTCCAGGGTACACACTCACTGGGATCTGAACATCTCCTTCCGAGAGACGTCTTGCAGGTAGCCCCCAGCCCTGGGTGTTTGGCAGGATAAGGGTTTCTGGGCCACTTACTGACATGTGGGCGTGATGTTTCCCTGTGTCTCTAAGGCTAAAAAAGAAAAAGATACAAAAAAGAAAGAGATGCTTATCCTGTAGTCGGACATCACCAAGCCTTGGCTCTGCCCAGGAGTATGAATAGCTAGATGATCATAACGCTGCTGTCTCCTGCACAAAGAGGAGTCTGCCATCTCCTGAGCCTGATGTCTTGGGTCTAGAAGTCTGGGAGACTCCCCTCAGCTCTAAATCTTTAATGGAACAAAGCCAGTGACCCAAGACTGGTATTTGGGATAATATCTGATTTAATTTGCCCTTTGGGTCTATCTGAGCCATGGGGGGTGGGGAGCCTTTGGGAGGGGTTGGCCTTGGAGGGGTCGTGGCTTGTTGGCTGAATATATTCCAGTCTAAGTCTCCATCATAGGACAGAGGGACGTGTGTGGTCTGTTGGGCCTGGACATCCCGAAGAGCTGAGATAATAACCAGAGCCCCGCAGGAGAACCCTGCCTGAGGACTTAGGGCATGAATGGGTGGGAGGACGCCCTCCAAGTATGAAAGGGGCTTGGGGAGGGTCTTATTCTAGTCCTCTGGAGAGCCATGAAGAAGGCCCGAGGACAGTCGATGTTTGGGGGAGGAGGGCAGAAAAGAGGGACATGAGAGAAGTCAGCATGGTTGGCCTAGGGATGGGGGCGAGGCCTCTGGATAATCATAAGCTCATCAGTCTCAAGCTAGAGATAGAGATAAATATCAGAGACCATCTACCACTCCTTCATTTTATAATTGGGTAAACTGAGACCTGGCAGGCCATTTGCCTAACAATCCTTAGAGGCAGTATTTGTATTTTAAGGGTTGGGCTTTTCCCCCAGTATTATGGTTGGAGGGCTGGGTTAGTGTCCAGCCTGTGTAAGAGTTTTGTGTCCAGAGTGTATATGAATGAATCAAATGCCTTCCCTGGGTCTCTGGAAGGAGCCTAAGGAAAATGGGCCTTCAGCCACAACAGGAGAGATGGAGGGTAGACAAGAGGGTGAACCTGCCAGGCAGCTCCGGGCTGTCCCCAGAAGAGGGGCCCTAGGCCTGGCTGGGCTCCAGAGGTATTTATGTTCCCAAGAAGGGCCAGATTATGGAGCAGAATTACAATAAAAACATCTTTAAACTTATTTCTACCTCATTTTGGAGTTGCCAGCTCAACTGATCATTTTTATGACCTGTCATGAACATTAATGACGCTTTATGGGCCTTTTACTTGGGACATTACAGGATAAATTTGTCAGCAGAGCCTGTGGGAAAATCAAGTTGGCGCCTCCTTCTCCCCCTCTGGCCAGCCCATCTCCTCAGGCATCCTGCCCCAGCCGGTGGTGGGGGTGGGGCGCCAGGGGTCAGGGATAGGAGCCTCTCCGTCCCTGGTCTGGCACTGAGACCCACCGGTTCCCAGGGGAAGCCCTCCCATCCAGTGGGCTGAGGGCAGGCATAACCTTGAGCTGAGGGGAGAAATGGCCCTTGAGAAGCCTGGGTTGGGAGGCAGCATGGGCGGGCCTTGGGAGTCCACAGGCTGAGAGGGAAATGAGGAGGAGGAGGAATGCTCTTGGCTAGCCCCCCGTCTGGCCTGGCCTGGCCTGGCCTGGCCTGGCGGAGAAGACACAGCCCCATCTTCTGGGAGTCCTCCATCCTTTCCAAGTCTATTCGCCCAGCTCCCTCCTCTCCACATCAAGAGGCAGTACGGTCCAATGGCATCTAAAGGAGTTCTATTGCTCACTAGATGTGTGACCTTGGGCAAGTCACTTGCACTCTTTGGGTTTTGCTCTCCCCATCTGTAAAATAAAGAGCTAGACTGGGTGGCCTAAGGTCTCCTGCAGCCCTAAAACCCCAAGAACTTAATAGACTATCCAGGGGGGAGAGCCACCCTTCCCCCACCTTCCCTCTGCAAGCAGTCTACATTAGGGATGACAGGTCCCGGGGCAGGGTACTGTCTGCCTGCGTGTCTGTCCATCTGTTCTGCACAGATGGAAAAGCTCCCAATCCTTCCAGAGTTTTTGACCCTACGGCTGGCCCCCAAGCCTTAGAGGGGTGTGGTATTGGAGTGGGGCCAGCCTCCCCCTCCCCCTCCCCCCATCTCTTGGAGAGCTGCCGGGGAGCTGACAATGCGATTAAGGGGATTTAGGCGATGAGCTGGGCACCCTGAGCCGATAAGCCGATCCCCACCTCCAGCCACTGGCCCTTTTGCTGAGTCAGCGTCCTGGACTTGCCTGGGCCACTGGAGGTGGGGGGGGGGGCGGGATACCAGAAGCCTTGTGGGTCCAGAATGTCTGCAAAACTCAGATTCCATCTGTCTGCTTCTCCTGCTGAGTCCCCTTGATTCTGTATTAGGAGGGCAGGGCATCCTCAGCCCCTTTACTTAGCTCAGGCTTAGCTTCCAGGGATTTCTGGAGAAACAGGTGAACCCAAAGTGTGGATGGGGCAGGGGAGGGTGTCTGCAGGAGCAGCCGGGGCACAGCCTGCCAGCTAAGAGTCTATCCTGCTCCCTGGAGGGCCAGGCAGGTGTCTGCCGGGGAGCGGGTGTAGGAGGCATAAGCAATCACCCCGGGCTGTCTCTCCCTCAGTCCTGATCGAACTCCCTCTCCTTGCCTGTCTCTCTCTATGTCTCTGCTCAGATCTTTTCTTTGAATCTCCTTCTCCTTGTCCTGGGTACCAGAATAGATAGGAGTGGATAAGACCACCAGCAGGCTTCCCCTGGAGCCCAGTAGAGACACCCAGAGGGAGTAGATGAGAGATTAGAGGTGTCCAGGTAGAGGGTGGGGGCCAGAAAGAGAGGAGCAACCCAAGGCAGAGCCAACGGTGCGCTCAAAGGATGCAGTATTTAGAGCTAGACGACCTGGGATAAAATCCCCATTCAGCCCCTTACTACCTGTGTGATCTTGGTTGAATCCTCTTCCTGTGCCTCAGTTTCCTCACCTGTAAAGGAGGAGTCTGGAGGAGGTGACTTCTGAAGTTCCTCCTAGCTCTAAATGTATTCTCTTTTTAAAATGTATTTTTATTTATTTTTAAATTTCTTTTTCCCCCTAAATTTTGAGTTCCAAATTCTGTCCTTCTCTTGAACCTCTCCCCCACCCACTGAGTCTAATTTTATTATCCCATGTATGACCTGGATTTGCATCTCATCTCTGCCACTTACTAGCTGTGTGACCCTGGGTATGTCACTTCTCTTCTGTGTTCCTCAGTTTCCCCATCTTTAAAATGAGGGGGCTGGGTTTGATGGCCTCCTAAGTCCTAGACATGGGGTCCCATGTGCCTAAGTCAGAGCCTCCTGGGCTGGGCCCAGAAGTGCTGCAGACAGGACTCCCTTAGGAAAAGTTACATAGAAGGAGAGAAATGCAACCAGATTGTGCTGGAGGGGGTGGTTGAGGAAGAAGGAAGGCAGTCTATTCCAGGAGAATGGAGGGTTCAGAGCAGAGATCGAACAGTGGCAAGACAGGGCAAGGCTTGGGTGACGTTCTGGGGGGCAGGGGACTCCATAGTGGGACAGGGTGAGCTGCAGGCGCACCACAAAGCCCTCGAATGCCAGAAGGAGAAGGGCAGTCCATCCAGGAGGCAGTGAGGGGCCTCCCTGGGGAAATGACATGGTCAGACTTGTGAGGGGTGGACTGGAGAAGGGAAAGGCCAGTGGGGAGGTCCAAGGTGCTGAGGCATCTGCCTCTGGGGGCCCCATGGGAGTGGCGAGGAGTCCACAGGTGTGAGAAACTTTGAAAAAGAGTGATATGCTGTGGCATTTTCTCAGTTCATCAAGGGCCTGCTATGTGCCAGACATTGCCCTAGGTTCTGAGGACCCAAAAATAACTGCTCAAACAGTCCCTGCCCACTGGTACAGGGAACTCTAGGAAGAGGAAACCTCCTCTTCTATCCAGGTAGGCACTCATTCTGCAAGACAGAGGCCTGGAGAGAGGCCCAGGATACCATCAATATGTCATGTTTGGGAATCTCTTTCCTTACATTCTCTCATTTGAACCTCATAAACAGTCCTGTGATATAGGCACGACAGGCATCTTAGCCCCATTTTACAGAGGAGGAAACTGAGGCTCAGAGAGTGTGACCTGTTCGTAGTTTCATGATGAGTTTCAAAATCACCTCAGTCAAACCCGGGTCTTTTGTGCCTTTCAAGCCCTCTTTCCTGCCTTTGGGACTCCAGGGGAGAAGAGAGGTCCCTGGGTGGAGAAACTTAGGCAGAATGGGAAGGTTGGTGGCTGGGCGGTTTGCCCCCTCTGCTCCCCATCTGTTGTCCACCAGTGCTGAGGCCAGCAATTCTCTGCCTCATCCCTTCTGTCCTCTCATTGATGCCTGCCTGATTAGAGAAACTGCTAATCACTCCCAATTAATCCTATAAACTGCTCACAACTCAGGCTATTTGCATAATTCTGGGAAGGGCAGCTCAGAGGGGATCAGGCCTTCCCACTTGGGGGGAAGGGGCTGGCAGCCGCAGAGGGCAGGGTGCCTGTGGCAGCCCAGGAGCCTGGGGGTCAAGGAAGAGGGTAAGGCCGTGATCTAAGGAAGGAAGGATTTTCATTGGAGTAAAGGGTCAGACCCTTGATGCAGGTAGGGTAGTTGAGAGGGATGGACTGTGAAATAAGGGGGTCACACCTGTCTCCCACTCGCAGAGGGTAGAAGGGACTGGCCCTCAATGTCCCCTGGCTGGTCCTGGGGATCTCTTTGTCCAGGCCCAAGCCCTAGTACTTAGGGGGGAGGGGGGAAAGGTTAGAGTTTCTGATGGAAACTGATCTGATTAGAGGGACAACGACCTAGCTTAGTCCCTGGGGAAGGGGGGGGCAGCTGAGGCTGAAGGGATATTTAATGAGGTTAGAATTAGGGTCCCCTGGCCATTCTGTGGAGGGAGCAGAGCCAGCATCAGCCCTTCCAGGGTAGGGAGGGGTTTCCTTCCTCAGAGCTGAGGGTGGGGGTGGTCAGGTTGTCGGGGCAGGATCAAGGAGGGGCCCAGGGCAGGAGGAGGCAGTAGTAAAAACCAGAATGGAAAGGGGGGTGCTATTGGGTTTTTCAAGAGTATCTGTATCTGTGTCCCTCTGTCTGTCTGGATGAAGGTGTTAATATGGTGAGGGAGGGAAAAGCTGAGAGCCCACATTTACCACACACATGCTCTCTCTCTCTCTCTCTCTCTGTCTCTCCCCCTTTCTCTCTCTGTCTCTCTCTTTCTCCCCCTTTCTCTCTCTCTGTCTCATTCTCCCTCTGTCTCTCATTCTCTCTCTCCCCCTTTCTCTCTCTCTCTGTCTCCCCCTTTCTCTGTCTCTCTCTCTCCCCTTTTCTCTCTCTCTCTCTCTCATTCTCTCTCTCTCTCCCCCTTTCTCTCTCTCATTCTCTCTCTCTCCCCCTTTCTCTCTCTCTGTCTCTTTTTCTCTCCCCTTTTCTCTCTCTCTCTAATTCTCTCTCTCTCTCCCCCTTTCTCTCTCTGTCTCTCTCTTTCTCCTCCTTTCTCTCTGTCTCTCATTCTCTCTCTCTTCTCTCTCCTCCTTTCTCTCTCTCTCTCTCTCTCTCTCTCTCTCTCTCTCTCTCTCTCTCTCTCGCCCCCATGCCCAGTGGGATTTTCTGCAGGGTCTCCCGCTCTCTCTCTGTCCATCTGTAAATATAAGCTCAGGCTGACTAACCCTGAGGAAATAAAGCAAGGACCAAGAAGGTGTTACAAATACCTATTTATTATAAGTAAATAGGCCTGCTTGGAGTGATTCTTATGCAAGACAGTGATTGCAATCTGGAGGTTTAATGAATGACACCTGTCATTTCAGGTGAATGAAACCTTCCAGTCCCAGAAGTAGCGTGTGCCTGTGCATGCTTGTGTGTGTGCACATGCATGTGTGTGTGCATGTGTGTGTGTGTGTGTCTTTCATCTCTGGGTACCTTTTTATTTCTGTATGAGTATACGTGTGTTTGTCTTTGGACGTATCTATAACTTTGTGTGTGTATGTGTGTGTGTGTGTGTGTGTACACTGGTGACTCTGGGTGCATGTGACTGTGGGTCTGCATGTTGTGTTGTATATGTGTTTATGGGTGTGTGACTTCGTATGTGCCTCAGCCTGTATTTACAGGTGATTGTCTGTCTCTGAGTTCATATAACTGTGTTTCTGTGTGGGTGTGTCTGGGTATCTCTGTGTACCTGGGTGTGTAACTGTGTCTGCATGTGTGTGTGTGGCTGCAAGTTGGATGTGGCATTTCAGACACTGAGACCCTAGAAATGCCCCTTGTCTTTTCCTGACCCAGAGAGCTGAGTTAATGCCTTTTCTTTATTGCCACCCTGATTCTGGAAGGGCAGTTGGGCCAAGGATCCATTTCCCATCCTGAAGATTTGGGAAATGAGGCCCAGAGGGGTGATTTGCCTGGAGTCCCCTAGTGGGTTGGGGACAGAGCCCTAATTAGAGCCCAGGTCTTCTGGCATCCAGTCACTACATTTGCTCATTCCACAACCATTAACTGAGCACCTACTGTATGCTTGGCCTTGAGGTTGCCTCTGGAGACTCAGGCCTGGCCAGCTGAATGACCTGGGGGTTTTCCAGGATGGAAATACTAGAAAGCAATGTGTTCTCCATCTGGCCTTGTGTATTCAGGGCCTCCATCACTCCTGGTCTGCACCCCTGCCTGCTCCTCATCCCTCGTCCTGCTCTTTATCAACTCCATTTTCCCAGTCCCCTCCCCCCACCCTCCCAGCCTGCCCCCCCCCCACACACACATCCCAAGCTCTCACCTTTCTGGAGCCAGTGGGCTGATCCCTTCTCACCTGGTGTCTCTTCTTCCCCATACAGCCGTGACAGTGACCTCTCTACCATCATCTCCAATCTGCACCAGAGCCGCCACCTCGTTATGCCTGAGCGCCAAAGCCGCTGTGAATTCCAGAGAAGCAGCGTCGAGATTGGCCTGGGTCCAGCAGGTGAGTTCAGGGTCTGGGTCAGAGTCATGGAGGTGGAGGGAAGATGTCTGCTCTCTGTGTTCCAACCCTGATGGGGAAGGCTGGGGAGGATGCTGTCCTCTGAGGCTACCTTTGGGACCCACCATTGTATTCATCCAGGCTACAGGACTAGCCCTGACTGGCAGGTGCCAGAGACATGTGAGGGTAGGGACTCTGAGGGACACACACACACACACACACAGGGAACAGGCTAAATTGGCCAGACACTTGCTAATACCCACAGATGCATAGAGATAGATATATGGAGACACATGGATGCTTGACCACCCAGTCACATACCCTTACACATACACCCCCAGCTAGAAGCTTACTCTTGTGTACATGAATGCACCCCCATATCTTCCTGCAACCCAGAGCCCTCCCCAGCGGAGAGGGGAAGCTATCCCTGTGAGTGGCCTCAAGTCTTAGGAGCACACCTTCCTTGCAGAAAGATATAGGGAAGTTTGAGAAATTGAGGGAAGGGGAGGAAGAAGGGAAGATGAGGGAATGTAGGGGCAATGTGGGTGCTGTTTACTGGCTCCCTCTGCCTTAATTGCCTTGGGATTGAGAAGATGGAAGTCTCAGGGAATGGAAAGTCTGGGGAAGAAAAACCAAGGAGACAGAAGGAGGCTGCCCCTTTGGGGTCCTTGTGGGGGCCTAGAGAAGGATAGAGCTCACTCCTGGGGAGCTTGGTAAGTGATGGGTGCTCAGACACAGTAGAGAACAAGGAGAGATGAGCTGGTAGCTTTTTGGAGGGAATTTGAGAGAGGTAAAATGTATCTAGGCAATAACTGACTGATTTTGCAGGGCAGAGGAAAGAGAGGGGGTCACAGGTGACTCAGGGATGGGGACACTGGGTGGGGGGGTTCTTCCTTGAAAAGAGCTAATGGGTCTGGGGGCTTCCTTAGCCTGAGCTGTTTCATCTCTGTTACTCTGATTTCCCCCACCCCATCACAGGCCCTCCCTCTATACTTTGGGACCTGTCTTCCCTACTTCCCTCTGTCTCTGTCTGTCAGTCTCTCTATTTCTCTCCATTGATCTCTGCATCTCAGACAGATGCTGTCAGTCTCTGTCTGTGACTTTTGCTGTCTTTGTATCTCTCTTCCCACCGTTCTCTGTCTCTGTCTCTGTACCTGGGGGAAGCCTCTGTCTTTGGTGCCTGGGGTGGGTGGGGGGAAGACGAGGGGCAGGGGAGGGGGAGAGCAGTTCTAGGGCTGTGACGGCAGGAGGGAGGCCAAGCAGGCTGCTGATAAAATCTAATTGCCCTATCGATCGGCCGGCAGCCAGCGTGAGCCGAGGTAATGATCGAGATGTTCTGTGTGCCAGCTGGGGCCCCCCCTCGCTCTTCAAGATCTCTTAATCACACACAAGCCAGCCCTGAATCCTCAGTCCTGGGAGAAGGAAGAGGCAGAGTAGGGCCAAGGTGAAGGCCTGAAGCAGCCAGGGATGCTGACCAGGGGACTGATGGGAGAAACTAACCAGGGGATAGTGACCAAGAAACTGACTAGAGACACTAACCAGGGAACTGACTGGAGACAATGACTAGGGGATACTGACCAGGGAATTGACTAGAGCCACTAATCCACTAACTCAGGGACTGCCTGAGAGATAGTGACTGGGGGACAGTGACCAAGGAACTGATTAGAGGACAGTGGTCATGGGGCAGTAACTTTGGAATTGACTAGGGGACAGTAATCATGGGACTGATGATAGGACAATGATTGACAGTAACCAGAGGTCAGTGACCAGGACACTGATGGGGAGACACTAACTAGGAGTCATCAACCCTGACCTAGGAACATTAATCAGAGACAGAGAGTGGGGAATATTAACCATGAACAGGGACATTGAGATTCTAGTCACTGTGGACTTTAGAGAGAATGAGTCCCAGGCATGGGGGATGTCAGCCCTGGTTGCTGAGTGTAACACGTCTTCTGTCAGAGTACATGGTTGTGGCTTTGACTTTGCAGAGCCAGGAGGCAATGGCCAGGTGACATTTGCTATCCATCTGTGATGGACACTTTCAGGATCTTAGGATTTTGAGTTGGAGGGGATCTGACAAGAGAGAATGTCATAACTAGGAGAGAACAAGGGCTTAGAAGGAGAGACAGAGGAGGTCAGAGCTGGGAGGGACTTTAGAACCCAAAGTCAGAGCTGGGAGAGGACTCAGCATAGAAAATGTTAGAATACAGACCATAGAATGTTAGACCTGGAAAAGACCTTACCAGAGAAACTGTCCGAATGAAGAGCTGTAGGACCTTACATCTTGTCCAGCCCTCCCATTTTACAGAAGATGAGACTGAGGCCAGGCCTACTTAAAATCCCACCAGGTCGAAAGAAACAGAGCTGGGATTCAAACCACCCCATCCCCTGCTTCCTGTGGGCCTAAGTCCTGGGGATGAGGTAGCCTTGGACAAAGAGTAGCTGCGATTTTGCCTTATTTAGCTGGAGTCCCTTGAGGGGAAGGAGGCCAGCTGGCTCCCAACAGTTATTCCCTGGCTGACCTCCTGCCACAGTCATTGCCAACACCAGCCCAGCCAGGGGTGCTCTGCCCCCCCCACCTCATACAGGTGTCCAAACACCTGCCTTCTCTCTTCCTGGCTCCCCTTCCCCAAACAACTAAAGAGCTAAGACAAGCACTTTCCTCAAAAAGGAAGGGATACAGAAGCAGTTATTAAGCCTGGGTGTAACTGGTCTGAAGGGAAAACAGATTCTTCCTTCCATCCTTGGGCTGTGGCAGTGCCAGCTCTGGGAATTCACAAGCCCTCCCAGCTCTAGCTGCTCTCATAGTGCTGCCCCAGGCTGGCCCCTCTGGTCTTTCTCTCTGAGAAAAAGCTGTACTCTCTCTGACCCCCAAATAATCAGTATTGTATTTTCGAAGAGTAGAGTCCCATGCTGGATTCCATCCTCTGAACCTGGCTAGCTTCAGCCTCTGTCTCCCCTCTCACTTTCTAGAAAACCAGGGGTGTTCCCACTGCCCTGAAGTCCAAGGTCCCCCCAGTCTTCCTTTCTCAGGAGCAAAGATGGCAAAGTATGTGTGAAGGTTGGGAGGGTCAGGGAAGATTGTGGTTATGTGTCAATGCAGCGGATTTGCCTATGAGCCAGGTGATTTATAGAAATTCAATCCCTTCCCCTCCTCCAGCTGGAGAGTTTAGCTCTGGGAGAGGTGTGTTTGGGTCTGGATAGGTCTCTGTGTTTGTTTATATTTATGTCTTGGCGTCCAGTAGTGGGGGGAGGAGAGGAGTTTGTGGAGAGGGAGGGCTCCATGAGTGAGTTTGATCCTGTTTTACCTTCTGCCTCAGCTTCCCTGACCCAGCCCCTCCAGCTCATCAGCCTTCCCCATACCCACACTTGCATCTCTGTCTGCCTCAGTTGCCTCAACTGTAAAATGAAGATAATGATATCACTGACTTCACAGTGTTATTGTGAGGATCCAATCATATAGTGAGCACTTAATAAAGCTTCTTTCCTTGCCCCTTCCCTTCTTGGAGAGGGCTGCTTTTGAGATGGGCTTAAGGAAAAGGCAGGAATTACCATGGGTGATAAGGGGAGAGAAGGCATACCAAACTTAGGGCACAGCCTGGGCAAAAGCCTAGAGGTAGGCAGGAGCAAGCAGCATCAGTCAGACTATGGGCAGCTGGTCTGGTCTTAGCACTGTGCCTGGCATGTAGTAAGTGCTTAATTTCTTAGGCTAATTGACTGACTGACCAGAGCCTAGGAAGAGTCAAGGTGAAGGAGATCCCGGGCCATGGAGGGCCTTTAGTGTCAGGCACCACCTTGTCCATATGTGTGTCTGTCTTCTTCTGTCTCTCCCTCCACCTGTTTCTTTTCCTTTTCTCTGTCTCAGCCTGTCTCTCTCTGTCTCTGTCTCTCTGTTTCTGCCACCACCTGTCTCATTCTCTGACTGACTGTCTCAATGTCTCTGTCTTCAATCTCTGTCTCTGCTTGTGCCCCTGACACTCTCTCTCTCTCTCTCTCTCTCTCTCTCTCTCTCTGTCTTTCCGGTCTGTCTGCCTTTGTCTCTGTCTCACCGTATCATTTCCTGTTTCTGTTATTAAAATCTTTGCTGCCCCCACCTCTGCCTGGGTCCTTCCCTTTCTTTATCTCTCTCCCTGCCTCTCTAGTTTCTCTCTGATTCTGTCTCTGAGACTCTGTTTCTAATCTCCTTGTCTCTGACACTCTGACCACCTCTCTGTCCTTGTCTCTCTGTTGTCTCCCTGCCCTCGCTAATCTCTCCTTGTCTGTGTCTTCTGTGTTTGTCTCTGCCTGGCCCTAAGCCCCCTCTCTGCCCGTATCTCTCTGTGGTCTCTCCCTTTCTCTTTCAGTCTCTGGCTCTCCCACACACTCTCATCCCATCCTCTATGTCTGTGTCTCTGCTTGGGTCTCTCCGGGTCTGTGAGGCTGCTGCCGCTGACCACCCCACCCCCACCCCCACCCCGGACGCCTGGGGCGGCGGGGCCTGACGGCGGAGATCGATAAGTTATTAGCACCATTCTGTCAGCCCTAATGCGGAGATTGATCGGGGCGCCCGGCGCTTCCCGGCCTGATAAAGATGACGGATTAAGGGAATAAGAAAAAGGATGGTGGGGGGACGACGGCGAAGCATCTTCCGCCGGAGAAACCGGAACCATTAATGAGTTTGGGAGGTGAGGAGGGGGGTCCCATTCATTCAATCCTGCTCCTTACTAGCTGGAAACCACTCAATGTGAGTTTGAATGCCAGCTGTGGCTGTGTGATCTGGTCCAGGCACGGAACCTCTCTGGGCTTCATTTCTCTGGGAATGGGAATGGGGTGGTGCCCAGGCTATCACTGCTGCCTGTGTTGGCATCAGCTGATGGGGGAGCCACATTCGCCCCTCCTACACAGCCGCCCCCGTTGGATGGGAGTGAGGGGGAAAAGGGAGACTGCAGAAGAGTGGTCTGGGATTTTCACCTAAAGTGGGAACTAGGCTAGGAATAATCAGTGGCATTGGACATGTAGTCAGGACACCTGCATTAAAAAAAAAAAAAAACAAACATCTCTGACACTAGTGGTATGACTATGGGCAAATCACAAAAGCTCCTGGAATCTCACTTTCTTTGTGCAAAAATTGGGAGTGATACCCAAAATACATTAAGTGTCTATATGGTGATTGCTGATCTTTCATTTGTGGGTGACTGAAGCTGGGCTGGGGGCAGGGATCCTTCCCCCTGTTGCTGTCCAGTCATGTCTGACACTCCGTGACTCCATTTGGGGTTTTCTTGGCAGAGTTACTGGAGCGGCTTGCCATTTCCTTGTCCAGCTCATTTGACAGATGAGGAAACTGAGGCAAATAGGGGGAAGTGATTTGCCCAAGGTCACATGGCTAATAAGTGTCAGAGGCGGAATTTGAACTCAGGAATTCTCCCTGGTGATCCATCCACTTTGCCACCTAGCTGCTCCATCCCTCCCCCTAGAGCTAGGTAAAAGAATGGATCACCTGTCTTGCCCTAGGTTTCTGAGCTCAGGTTTCTGGTCTCACTTCAAAGCATTCTACTAGCTTTGACTGTTTGGGGTCTAATCCCTACTAAAGGTGGAGTCTTTGGGCCCATTTCACGGAGTGGGAGACTGAGGTGCAGAGAGTCACTACTCACTGGGGCTCTGGGCAACTCCATCATTAATTTAGAAATGAGCTGACTTGGGCCACTTTTGCCTGAGGCTAGGAAGGGGAGGAGGGAGAGCAGAGTCACTGTGTGTGTTCCGGGCAGGTTTCCTGAGGGTTCAGGTTGGCGGCTTCATGCCAGGACTCACAGGTGGATTTGACGATCTCGGACAAAGCGGAGGGGGAGTGGGGAGAGGGAAGAGGAAGGTCAGCCCACAGTCCTGCTGTGGGGATCCCTGAGCTGGCTGATGTCCTGGGCCCTGTTGTGCCCATCGGGGCTGTCAGCCCGGCCAGGTGCAATCTCCAGTCTGTCAATTACAGGCGTTTGTTTCCTGGGAGCATCTTTAACAAGCTCTTGATAGATGAGAAAGATTTGATGCCCCCAGTGACAATTTCCTCCTTTCTCCAGTCCCTACAGTGTCCCCAAGCCCTGGCACTCGCCTCCACGCCTGTCCCCGGGCTCTGGGTTCTCAGATTCCTCCCCCTCCCTTCCCTCCCTGGGTCTGTCCATCAGCCCTGTTCCCGCTAGTTACGGGCGGATATTGATTCTGGATCATTGGGGGACGCTGTGGTTGTGACGGCCTCAGGCTTGGGCTCCGAGGGGGGGAGCTGCTCTAATGCAGGCTTGGCTCCTGCGTTTCCGGGCGTTTCCGGACACTCTCAAGGGAGAAGATTGAAGGGGAGGGAGGAAGAGAGGGAGAGACTCAGAAGGGGGAGGGAGAGGCTCCTAGAGAGGGAGAGATTCAGACAGAGAGAGAGTGAGAAAGAGAGAGAATTCAGGAGGAGGAGAGAGGTTCAGAGAGGAAAAGATGAAATGAAACTGGGGGGAGTAGGTTTAGAGAGTGATTAGGAAAAGAGGAACGCGGGAACAGAGATCCAGAGGGGCAGAAAGTCAGAAAGGGAGATATTCAGAGAGAGGAGAAAGATGAAATGGGACTGAGGAGAGTCAGAGACGGGACAGAGGAGGTGGACACGAAGACAAGGAGAGATGCAGAAAATCAGAAAGGAAGAGATTCTGAAGGAATGAGAAGGGAAAGAGTCGCGGGGGGGAATCATGAAATGAGACTGAAAAAAGAAATTTGGAGAGACTGATGAGTCTCAGAGAGACTGAGAAAGGAAGAGATTTCAGGGGGAAAACACAGAGGGGAAAGATTGGCGGAGGAAGACTGTAAGAGGGAAAAATTAAAAAAGACTCGCAGAAGGAGTGATTCAGAAATAATAAGGGGGGAGGGAACCTCGGATTCCGAGGAGGAGAGAGGCAAAAACTGGGAGGAAGGCTCAGATTCTGAAGGCGAGAGAGGCAAGAGGGAGGGGGAGTGCAGAGGTCGGCGAGGCTGGCGGGAGGCGTTCTGCCGGGTTTGGCTCAGGACATGAAAGGCGCGTCCTGTCGGAAGCCCTGGGGGCCCCGGGGCGGCTGCACAGACCATGAAACTCAGTACGCGGATTGTTGGGGGTGGGAGGGGCGCCGGAGCTGGAGGGCTGTGGCCTGGGTGGGTGGGTGGGGGGGTTTGCTGGCCTTCTAACCCCTGCCCCTGCCAACTGCCTGTAGGGTTTGGCCAGTCTGAGGGGCTGCCCGAGCTGACAGTCTGACGCTGTTCTCTCATTCTCCGCCCCGTCTCCCCCTTCCTCCTCTTCTTCCTCCCTTTTGCCCCTGCTCCACCTCCCTCCCCCTTACCACTTCCCCTCACCCAGATGACCTTTTAGGCAAAAGGCGGGGCTGCTCCCCCAGCAGCGGCGGCAGTGACCGCCCCTCGGAGAAGAAGCCCAGGAGTGAGTCCCCCAAGGGTAAGGGCTGAGCCTCTGGGGGAGGGGCTGACCCAAAGACGTCAGTGTCTGGGGAGGTTCCCCAGGCTGCCCAGTGGGTAGCCCTGCCTGAGGCCTGGGCCTGTCCCTGCCATGCTGGGAGAGCGGATGTGTCTCCTAGGGAAACCCTGGATTTGTACATATCAGTTCAGGCAAACCTGAGGACTTACAAACATGTATGCGCATGTGAACACGTGTACCCACTCATATATGTGTGAGAGACAATCTGCATGCTGGTGTCAGGCATGTCTGAAAGGCATTGGGAAGATTCCCTTTATATACATAATTTAAATAGAGTTGAATCAAGAAGGAATGTATATGAGAGGGAAGGAGTGTGTATGTGTGGACACAGATGTACTGTGTGGGCTTTCTCCCACCACATCCTGAGCATCGAGTGCTTTCCACCTTAGACATCGGCCTCCCGGCTCCCTCCCAGCTCACCCGTTTCCCTGCTTCTCCCTTCCCTCCAGAGCCCTCCCCCTCCCCTCTCCGAGAGGAGCCCCCTCCCCAGATGACCCCGGAGGAACACTACCGAAGGATGATGTCCGCCCTCAGTGAGCCGGGCGCCTTTGAGGAACAGCAGCGTCTGTACCAGCTCGCCAGCACCGTGGGCCTGCCTAGCCACAGTGGTGAGTGTCCCTCCTAGTCTTGCCTGTCTTTGGCCTGACCCTCCTGGTCCCATCCACCATTCTCTGGCCTTCCCCTGTGTGCCTGCCTGCCTGCCAGCTACATCCCCCCCCATCTACCTTCCCCATTCTTGTCCCTCCAAAGTGGCCTGATTTGGGTCAGTCAGCTCTAGTAACCGCTTGGGGTGGGGGGGGAGGCCTGAGCTGCCTGTCCCATCACCTGTGCCAATGGCTGATGGAGATAGGAGAGACTAACAGTCTGGGAGGGGTGTGGCTATTCTGAAATCTCCTGCCCCTGCCCTCACTGTCACACAGGCAGACTGTTGTCATTTATACACAGACACAGCCTCACATACCGTAGCCAGCCTCATATCACAGGCTCACATTCCCTATGTGTCAGACTCCCATGTCAGTCAGCAACCACGCGTCAGTCATACCCAGGGTCAGTGGTGTTGGTCACACATGTTGGCAGTCACCTACAGCCTCATACGGGTCAGTGGAAGGTTGGTCCTCTCTGGGTCCCGCACAGTCTCATGTGGTCTGTCATATGTTCAGCCTCAGTGACACATGGGAGCCGCCTTACGCACTGTCAGACACTGTCACACACAAACACAGCCTCACGCTCAGACAGGCACACGCACATGAGCCTCCCAAGTCAGACAGTCACACAAAAGCTGGGGGCGGGAGTAAGGGGCGGCTTCAGGTGGTTGCCAAGGGCTGGGGGAACCGGGTTTTTCTATGACATTTTACTCTCGCACTTAGAGGGATGGCTGCGATGCAGGCAGGGGGCCTGGAGGAGCGGGGAGTCTGCTCTGGCCTCCTCGGCCTGCATAATTCACAAAATCTTAATAATTTAAAACCCTTCCCTTTAATTGCCTCCCCGCCCCCCTGCCCCTCCTCCCCCCCGCCCCCCCCCCGCCCGCGCCTGGCCGGGGGGGCCCCCCCCCCCCCCCCCCGGCGGCGCCGTCCCGCTGCCGTCAGGGCCCGACTGTAAATAACTGAGCGCAGAGGGGAGGGAGGCAGGAGGTGGGGGGGGAGGGGCGGGGGCCGTTCCGGTCACTGGGGATCAATGCGGCTCCGGAGCTGGCGCGGAGCCCGGGGCGAAATCACAGGCCCCCGGGCGGGCAGGCGGGCAGCCCGGGCCCGGAGCCGGCTCTTCTCGGGTCATTAATCTGTGAGCAGCCACGGAGGCTGTGGGGAGGGGGCGGGGGCCAGGACCAGGGCCAGGGGCGGGCAGGCGGGAGCTGCCCAGCTTCCCTCATCCCCCAGCCTGGGCCAACCCAGCGGCTCCCAGCCTGGAATGGGAGGTGGGGTGGGTCTGGGAGTCTGGTCTTTCCTTCTGTGGCCCCCCAGTTCCCTTCAGTGTATGTATGCATGTATGGGGGAAGGGTATCTCCTTGTCCCTGTTAACTGGTCCACGAGTCCCTGTATGTGTTTATCCGGAGGCTGGCTGTTTCTGTGTTCCCCCGTCTCCATGGGTGCTCGTGGGGGTCCGCCTGGCTCCCCAGGACCCAGGAAGTGTGTGGGTGATTGGGGGATCCCCATCCTGCTTTAGGGGTTGGGGTTCTGAAGTTTTCTTTCTTTCCATCGTGGGTGGGAAGGGCTTTCCTGCCTTCTTGCTCAAGGGAGCCCCAAAACCCCCAAGAGTGAAAGGTGGGGGTGGGGCTGTGAGACTTTCTGGTTCCTCCCAAGGGGGGACCCATCCTGTTTGCCCTTGGGCTCCTGTTCCTGCTGCTCCCCATCCCCTTCTCCATCTTCCCACTCCAGACTGCCCCACTGGACACTCTTGGCCCAATGCCCTATTGTCCCCTCTGCCCTCTGTTCTTCTGGCCCTGCTTTGGGTCTCTCTTCTCAACATTCCCCACGTTCAGACAGCTTAGCTTTGCCCAGTGTTCACCCTCCCAGTTTTGGTCCTTAAGGCACTCAGCCTGGGGGGAGGGAGGAGGGGGGAGGCATGCCCTGTTTTCTGGCCTTTGGCTCCAATGTCAAGTTCCAAATCCCTGGGATGGCTACAGGGTTTCTCGGCTGCCTGCTCACGGGGTCTCCCTCTCTCTCCCCAGATCTCTTGAGGCTCAGGCAAGAGGTTGCAGCTGCAGCTGCCGTGAGGAGCCCCGGGGCTTTGGAGCCCCATCTCCCTTCATCCTCCAGCAGTTCTACGGGTGCTGGAGTTGGAGGCGGGGCTGGAGGGGGGTCCGGGCAGCGCCGGAAGCAGGGCCTTCCCCCCCACAGGGAGACAGCTGTCACTGGGCACTTCTCAGATAGGTAAGGGGCATGGGAGTTAGCTCCTGGGGGCATAAAGGGGTGGGGAAGCTTCTACATGAAGCTAACGCTCTGGGCAGCCCTGGGAGTTCGGCCTCTGGGGAAGTGAAGGCTGAGGTTGGCACCCGAGGGTGGGCACCGTGGACAATAAGGAGGTCTCTTGTTCTGTGGTCGCTGAGGGTGGGGACACACAGATAGGGAGAGACTGTCAAACGCACTCCAGGTTAGGCACTCAACTGCCTACAAGTCCCCAACCTGCCACTTTGCTCATTTTAAAATGGGGGAGGGCATTTCAAAGGGAGACTCCCTCCCCCCTCGCCCCCCCCTCACCCAACTCCTCGTGTTAGGCGGGGAGGGGGCTGAGCCGAGCTGGTTCCCGCAGCGGGCTGCGGAGGGTGAGGGGTGGGTAGAGGTGAGGGGTGCCCCAGGGCCTCAGGCTGGCCTCGCTGCGCAGCGGGGTAATTACTGCCGCCGCAGCCCGGCCCGGCGCCCGCCAAGGTCAGCGCCTCCGCGCCGCCGCCCGAGATTAATTGGCGCCGCCGGGGGCGGGGGCAGGGCCTGATGGAGGCTTTAACGAGGCGCGCATCGACCGCTCCCCCCCTCCCCTTGCCCGCCCAGCGGCGGAGGCGCAATTAGTGCCTGAGCAGGGGGGCCTCGGGGGCCAAGGGAGATTCTGGGAAGTGGGAGTGAACAAGTGCCCCCCCCTTCAGCAGACAGGGCTGCCCCCCACAGCAGTCTGAGTACCCCAACCCCCTACAGGCCTCTTCTTAAGCTGCCCAGGAATATCTGCTTCTCAGTCCTCCCCCACCTCTTTGGGGGGACCTGGGAAGAGGGTTAACTGAGCTGGCCTCCTGGGTGCCCCCGCTTAGCTCGATTCTCTCCTACCCTCAGGGACCTGACCCATCCATCACTGCTGTCGCCCCAGAATGCCCCCCACATCGCCCTGGGACCCCACCTCAGACCCCCCTTCCTGGGTGTGCCTTCAGCTCTGTGCCAGACCCCAGGTGAGGAGGGGAGAGGGACAGTATCTGGGGATATGATTGTGCATGCGCCCGCGTGTGCATGTCTAGGTTTAGCTCTGGGAACTGAGCTGTAGGGGCCCCTCTGGGTGTTTCCTCAAAACTTGGGCTTCAGGCTGGTGGTTTGTGGGCACTGGAGAAGAGGGGTAAGGCATGTGGCCTGGCCCTGGACTGCCCAGCCATGTCTGTCTGCCCTCTCCACCAGGATATGGCTTCCTTCAGCCAGCTCAGGCTGAGATGTTTGCCAGACAGCAAGACATCCTCCGAAAACAGAGCCTGGCCAGGTGAGGGTGACCCCGATATTCCCCCTCTCTGCAGCTGAGAAGAGGAAGGGGACCTAGCGCTGGCAGGTGGGCCCAGGCACTCTGAGGCACCCTGCCCAGGTCCATTTGGTTCGGGAGAGGGGGAGGTTGGTACTCAGCCTGCTGAAGCAGGGATGTCCTGACCCCACCCTTCCTCCCCCAGGCTGGAGATGTCAGCAGAACTACTTAGGCAGAAGGAGTTGGAGACCCTGCACAGGCCTAGGCTGCTGACTGGGGACCCACTGGGGCTGCCCCAGGAACACCCTGCTCTTCGATCCCATGAAGGCCCTGAGAGCCACTCCCTGCCCCCCTCCTCTCTACATGAGGACCTACAGCGCAGGCGTAGTGCCATGCTGGTGCTGAGGCACAGTTCGGCACCCCTCTTGGCCCTGCCCCCCCACGGAGCCCCCTGCCCGGGCCCAGGCCCCCCAACACCCCCCAGAGAACAAGCCCGGCAGCGTCCTGCTGCCCGAAAAGGGATCGGAAGGCCTGGAGAGGCCAAGGAAGCCAGTGGTCCGGGAGTCCGGGCCCAGGACAGCCCGGATGAGTCCAAGGAGTCGGATGGCGAGGAGGCTCCCCGCCGCACCTGTGATGGCCCGAAGGACACAACCGGTGGGCCCAGTGGCGATTCTCCAGGGCATGGCCTGGGAGGCAGGGCTGAGGGGAAGGGACCCCTCCTGGGTGCCCCATTGCCCCCCCCCTCTGCCTCTGAGCCTCCCTTACGCCATAAGCCCCTACTTTCACGCAGGTAGGTGTGTCTACCCCTCCTTCCTCTGCCTCCAAAGAGAGGCCACTTCCTCCTCCTCTCCCTTGGTGCAGCCGGGGTGCGCCCAGTGGGGCTGGTGAAAGGGGAGTGCTGAGAATCTAGTCCCTGTGTAGCCTCCAGTGGGAAGAAACTGCCTTAAGCACCCCCCAGCTGGCTGAGAGTCAGACAAAAGCCCTGCATTGACGAAGGGCCCACAGAACATTAGTGCCGCGGTGCCAGGGCGGGAGGAAGGGGGGACCTCAGAAACCAAGAGCCAGACCGAGTCCCTCCCCAGACTGATTGAGATGGGCCAGGGCTCAGAGGTCGGCGCTGTCATGGGGGAGGGGGCACACTGGGACGACCCAGACCTTCCTCCTTGCCATCAAGCGCTCCTCTCCCCAGTGACACCCCCTCCCCCTTTCCTCATGCAGGCACCATGGGGGGACTGTTCTTGGACAGTGGGGAGGAGACTGTGGGCCCTGAAGACGTCAGCAAGTGGACAGTGGATGACGTGTGCACTTTCGTGGGTGGCCTGGCTGGCTGTGGAGAGTATGCTCCGGTATGGGAGGGGAGGGGTCATGTCACCATGGATTCTGCCCTCCCCCCCACCAGCCAGTCACAGACACTCAGACAATAGCTATTTCCTCCTGTGCCCAGCTCCAGGGCAGCCAACACGACTCTCAGTCCTTGAGGGGCAGGGGGCCACCACCATCAAATCCTTGGCCTCTGTTCAGGTCTGAGGTGGGATAGGCCCCCACTGGCCATGGCCTTTGTGTACACTGGGCCACAAAACCACACACTCCCCTTCGCATGGCCCAGGTTTCTCCTCCAGTCTGGGGGTGGGCCGTGGGGTAAGTGGGGGAAGAGGGGAAGAGGAGTCGCTTAGCCCTGGCAGTCTGGCCCCAGGGGTTGCACACACCAACCAGCCTGGCTTGGCCAGCTGCACAAAGGGGATTTGTCTTCTATTGGAGATTGGGGTGGGAGGGGGAAAGATTTCATTCTCTGCTGGGAGTTGCACCAATTTTTTTTTTTGCTTTCCTGGCTTCCCTCCTCAGCTCCCTCTGGAAACCCTTGGGCTGTCCCAGGGCCTGCAGCAGGGAGGGCTCAGAGGTGGACAGGCTTCGGGGGTGCTTCAGGCGGCAGCCTCTCCTGGAGGCTGCTGTCCCACTTGGTGGCCCCCCCTTGGAGAAGAAGCTTCCCACAGGCTGACCACACCCCACCTTCATTCCTAGGTATTCAGAGAACAGGCCATCGATGGGGAGACACTGCCCCTGCTGACCGAAGAGCACCTGCTGACTACCATGGGGCTGAAGCTGGGCCCTGCCCTGAAGATCCGATCCCATGTGAGTCACCCCGCCCCCACAAGGCCCCCTGGGGAGCCTAGCCATCCCCCCAAGCAGGGGAGCTAGAGTTTGAATGCAGGTCCTTGGGCTTCAGACTGCTCTTTCCACTTCACTGGAAAGGGGCTGGGGCAGGCTGGAAGTCCAGCCACAAGCAGCCTGTCTGGGCCTCAGGGTTCTTCAGGCTTGGTGGGGGTGTCCTTGAGCATGCTGCTCCTTCTGTGCTCAGCTCCCTCCTTAGCCTGGGCCAGCCTGGGCTCCTGCTCTCCCTCCCTCCTTGGCCTTTTCCGCAGGCAGTGATACCCTGTGGCAGTTCCCAAATCAAATGCCCCAGAAGCCAGACCTGACTTAGCACTGTGTACCTAGCCCTCCCGGGTAGAGCTAAGGGGCCTCAGATGCCAAGGCAGCTGCAGAGCTGGCCCAGGCCCCCCTGGTGTCTGGCCAGCCAACGCGCTTCTCCTCCCCTACAGGTGGCCAAGCGTGTGGGCAGACTCTTCTACATGACCAGCTTCCCCGTGGCCCTCCCTCTGCAGGCCCCAGGCCTTCGGGGGACAACGGACAGGGAGGTGGAGGGAGAGCGTCAGCCCTCCTCCCCAGCCCACACCGCGTCCCCCTTTGGGGGCAGCTTCTCGGCAAGCAGAGGATCCCCTAAACAAGAGAACGGTACTCCCTCCCTGCTGGTGGGGATGGGGGATGTGCCCAAGACTCCCTCCTAACTCCCCAGGACTGCCTGGCCAAGGGCAGCTGTGGACCACCTCACCCCTGGCCCTGCCAGGCGGGCTGGGGATCTGGCCCCGGGGGCGTTCCCTGCCTTGCCCAGCTTTGTATTTTTGAGGCCAAAAAAAAAAAAGGAAGGGGGGGGGAAACCCAGGAAAGCAGGACTGTGAGGCCCAGGAGGAGAGGGGAAAAATCCAAAGAATTTCTGGAAGCAGCTTCGAGGGTCTGAAGCAGAGACAAACAGCCAAGCTTGGGGAGGCCGGCTGCCTCCACACCCCCCAGACTGGACTCAGTTCCTGATTCAGGTGTCTATGCATTTCTAGCAACTTCAAACAATACCAAAGACAGACAAAAGCCACGGCAGAAGTGGGCAGGCTGAGGGAGCTTCTAGGCCTCTAGGGCAGCCGCCGTCTGGCCAGGCTGAGAGGCAGAGGGACTGTGGGCTTGGCCTCCCGGCAAGTGGAGGCACTCATGTGGATTGGAGGCCTGAGCTCTGAACTGACAGTACCCCCCTTCCCCCCAAACTGCACGTGCCACCCACTTTTTTCTTAAATAGACTTCTCGGTACATTTAAGCTTCTTTATACTGTAAAGAACAAACCAATAAAAGCCTGACATCTGAACCTCCCTCTCTGAGCCTCCCTTGCGAACACCAGGCAGGGCGCAGGCAGAGGCCTCAGTCTTCATCTGAGAGCTGCAGCTCCTCCACCACGTCGGCCTCCCCCTGGGCCAGTCTCTCCAGCTCAGCCGGGGGCAGCTTCGGGGCTTCTCGGCCTGGGGGGAGGAAGAGAGCACAGGCTGCAGGTGTAATTCTGCTTTATCAGGGAGAAACAAGGCAGCCGAGGTTTCTCATCACTAATTAATCATGGTGCTAATTAATTTATTGAGGCCACTGCTGTTTCCAGATAGCAGGAGAGAAAGGAGCAGCTGGCCGGTGTCTCCTATGATGAGGCCTGCATCCCCCCAGCCCACCGACCGGCCGCCCGCCCCCCCCCCACCCATCCCCATTTGGGCTCTGAGCCCAGACAGGAACCACTGAGGCGCTCGATGCCAGCCTGGTCAGTGGCCGCCCCTGGCCGGATGTGGCCCTGATGGTGAGCTTGGCTGCCTCCTGGTCCCACAGCCTCTCACCCTCGGAGTCGCCGCCGCTGTCCTCGTCATCATCACCACCCTCTTGGTCCTCACTGTCCCCGCTCAGTCCAGAAGACTCGTCCAGGCTGTCACTAACGCCGTCACTGTCCTCACCCCGGCCTTTCTTGGAACCAGCCTTTCCTGTAACACGGACACAGAAAACTCGCTGTGGCTAGCCGGCCGCAGGGTCAGTTGGGCCTCAGGAGTCTGGCCGGCCCCTCCCCAAATCCATCAGTGCCACGGCTGGGCCCCACTCGGGCGGCAGGCGCAGTGACGGCCCATCTCTGGCTCTCCCTTAATCGCACCCGGCTCCTGCCCAGAGTCATTAATAATCTCCGACAGGCCTGTCTCCCTGCCTGAGACCTGTCAGGGGGTAAATGAGAGAAATTCATGGGCTTCCTTCCCCATCACCACACACAGATCCATCAGAGCTGGAAGCAGCCAGACACCCCACCACCACCACCCACAGGCCCCCGCCCCCTCCCAGCCACATGTTAACTCTCATCACACCCAAATCATGCTTTGTGGGGTCTCAGTCTTGGGGCTCCCCAGGCACTGCCCCCACCCCATTGACAAGACAGCGGAGCAGACCTAGTTAACAGCCAGGGGCTGAGGCTACACCCACAAAACCTGACTCAACCCCCCAGATAGGCCAGCATCAGGCCCAGTGACCCCTGCCCCCCAGCACAGATGGCCAAAGGTCAGACTCCTGCGGTGACTCCTGCCCTAGCCCCAGGAGGTTCTGGGGGCACCAAGCCAAGGCTCATCTCCCCAGGCCTCCCCAGATGGTAATGAGAGCGAGGGACTACTTGTGTGGCCCTGGACCAGCTACCTCCCCTCTCTGGGCCTCAGTTTCCTCATCTGTAAAAAGAGGGGAGCAGTCGGAATTCTGAGGCCTCAGATGCCAGGCCCTCGAGGCCCGAGGGCGAGGCGGGGATGAAGGGGCTGAGCAGGAAGGCCAGGCTGCCAGAGGTCCCTCCTTCCAGCAGCCGGGATGGGTGGGGGACAAGGGTGCAGTAGCAGGTGGGTCTGCTCTGCAGGCAGCTCTGGGTGCACAGGTCCCGCCCCCACCTCTCTGCCCACGCCCCCCAAACTCCCCAGTGCCCGAGATGGGGCACGCACCCGAGGAGCCCTTTCTCCACATCTCTCACCAGTGAACAGTTAGATTTGGATCAGAGTTGGGGTGAAAAAAGAACCTGACCGCTGAATGCTTCCCAATGAGGAGAATTCCTGGGCTGGGGGCCTGAAAGTCAGGCCCCATCTTCCCCCTCCTCCATCCCTGGAGCCCTGGGCTAGACGGTCACAGGGTAACAGACTCAGGAGGTGCCCCCCTCCTGAAAACGGGTGCAGGGTACCTCCCTCCTCCCCACTTTCAATGTCTGAGGGTCCCCAGTGGGGAGACACCTGTGTGTGCCAGCATGGGCCTCAACCCCAGAGGCAACAGCAATGGGACACTTTACAAATGGGAACACGTTTGAGCATCACCACAACCCTGGGAGGCAGGGGGATCCTCCCCATTTTACAAGTGAGGAAACTGAGGCAGGCAGAGGTGAAGTGACTCATCTAGGGTCACAGTGTCTGAGGCAGGATTTGAATTCAGGTCTCCCTGACTCCAAGACTCCACTGCCCCACCTAGCTGCCCATAGGGAGCATCAGCCCTGCCAAGTGGTACATTTAAGTGTGGCCCCATAGACGGGAGGGGGGGAATTAGGACTGCTGACACCCTGCCCTGCCCCTTGTCCAGGACCCTGCCAAGTAGCTCAGAACCACCCACCCTCCTCCCCTTGCTCCTTGTGCCCTGGGCTCCCTGCCCAGACTGGGAAAGGGAGAGCAGCTCATTAGTATACATGTGGGCATTCCCTGCCCATCGGGCAGGTCTACACAGCCTCTGGACAGTGTGAGCACACCACCTCAGCCCTCTGCTCCCTCTTACACAGGTCTCTCCATCAGAGCTTAAGCTGTCTCATGAAGGGGAGGTCAAGGAAGGGGCGGCCAGAGTCCCCAGCAGGGATGGTGGCCACAGCCTGTGGGCCTGGTGCCCCTGCCCTCTCAGAGGAGGAGAGGAGAGGACCTCCCTGCCCCAGACACAGCCATACCCCAGAGGTGGGCCATCTGTCCAGAGGGAACTGAGGCAATAGCTTCTGAGACTGAAGAAAGAGTAACTGGGGGCAGATGAGGAAGGAGTGCCAAAGGCAGGAGATGTGCCAGGTGGCTGGGAGCTCTCCCCCCTCCATCCCTCAGGGCCCCCCAGGAGCCCAGGGCTGGGCTGGGCCGGAGCAAAGGAGCCCGAGACGAGCAGGGCTGGCAGCGGCAGGAGGCACAGAGCCAGGCCTGGGGCCCGGAGGCCTCCTTGGGGCTGTCTCCACAAGCCTCATGCCAGACCCTCTGCTGGCATCCCCGCCCGTCCTCAGCCTCCCAGGCCTTTCCTCCCCTGCAGGGCCCAGCCTGGCTGGTCCCACACACAGGCCCCCAGGCCTCCTTGCCTCTACACCCCGCTTCAGCCTTCCCCAGCCCCTTCAGGTCCTCCAGGGAAGCCCTCCACCCCAGCCTTCCTGTTCACCCCATCCACAGCTGCTTCACGCAGAGCTGTTTGCCTGGGTCTCCCCCCTTAGACTGGGTGCTCCTTGAGGGCAGGATCTGTCTTGTCTGTCTTTGTACCCCCAAGGCTCCGACAGCATAGTGCCTGGCACACAGCAGGCGCTTAATAAATGAGACTGACTAGAACAATGGTGCCTTAGGCCCAAGACCTCATGCTCTCATCCCTCCAAACCACAAGAATGATGATGTGCAAAGCTGCTCCCAGACATCGATTTGCACCCAAAGCCTAGCACAGGTAAACTGAGGCAGATACCGCCAATGCATCCCTGGGCCAGCATCTGAGGCTCTCTCTGTCACTCCCCCAGTGGCCTCGGGGGCCATGCCGGGCTGACCTTTGTGCCCTGAGTCCTGGCTTCAGCACAGGATGCATGAAGGCAGCCTGGAAGAAAAGGCACTCCACTGTGTCCCATCCTGCCCCTGGGACTTTGGGACCCACTGTGGGCCTTGGTTTCCTTCTCCGCACTGCACGGCCAAGTCCACTGATCCTGTGACCAGCCTCAGAGAGGGGCTGGGCACAAGCTCCAGGGGCAAAGGCTTTCCAGCTTTGCTCCCTGGTGACTCGGGGGGGGGGCAGGCTGGGGTCACCCCTTCTTACAAAAACAACACATGGGGTGCTAAGGCGGTCAGAGGCTCCCCGCAGCATCTAAAGCTGCCCCAGTCACACATAGGTCCACCAGACCAAGGACGTGCACATGGACAGGTGGACACGGGCAGATGGACACACGGACACACACACACACACACACACACACACATCTAGGAAAACCCGCCTTCAGACAGACTTAGAGATGGCCCAGAGCTAGAGTGGAAGTCAGGAGACCCTGATTCGAATCCTGCCTCAGGCACACTGACAAGCCACATGGCCCTGGGCAAGTTAGTCTCAGCTTGACCATCCACAAAACTGGAGGATGATGCGAAGATCAAGTTCCTGATCTGAACGCCGTGGACACAGCGATGACCGTCCTCCTCGACAGTAAACTGCGAGCCCTCAAAACCTGGGGGCTTCTCCCAGCCCCGCTCTCAGGCGAGGCTGACGGAAAGACCCCGGATCTTGAGCCAGGCCCCTGGAGCTTCTCTCCCCTCACTCCCCTCCATGAGGAGGGGGGGTCAGCCTCCACCCACCTCTCTGTACCTCCCCCCACATTGCCCCGGGGCCAACCCTCTGGGGCTGAGCTTGCAGTCCTCCAGACCCAGCATCTGGGCCGGATGCTGCTACCCACCCGTCGGAAAGGCGCTCTGGGCTCGGGCTCGGGCCTGGACACTGAAAATATTCCTGACCCTCTGGCTTGGGAGTGAGCTGAAGGATTGGATAACTAGCTAGAGGAAGTGGTGATGAGTGGTCCAGTTCAGAAGCAGTGGCCACCACAGAAGAGGAAGAGGAAAAGGAGGGAGAGGAGGGGGAGGCATCCTGGGCTCTCTGGAAGGGCCACTGGTCCCGGGTCCTCTGAGCTCACCTAACCTCGCACCATCCCCACGCGGTGGCCCAGCCTCGCCGTGTGGGGACACTCACGCACCACATCCATCCTGAGCTTCGTGGGACAAAGCAGACGAGCCCCCCCCCCCCCCCCCACCAAGCAGACTGCTTTCTCTGAAGTAGGGAATTCCCCGTGTGAAGATCCCCTTCACCCGTGCAGACCCAGTCTGATCAGGGTCAGGTAGCCTGTCTCTCTGCATCAGAGGCATCCTCAAACCCAAGGCCAGCCCTTTCCCTTTTGCGCCACGCTGGCCAGTCCAGCCTCCAGGCCACTGCCTATGCTGCCCTCTCCCCAGCTTAGCCAGGGCCCTGGCCCTGCTTCCCACCTTTCACCGAGAGGCCTTCACCCTCCTCATCCGAGTCTGTGTCCAGGTCGAAGAGGTCCCTGAATTCTTTTCTGTCCTCCTCTTTCCTGTCCTCCGGTTTCCGTCGCTTGACCTCGGGGAAGTTCAGCTCTTCCAGCTGGAGGGGAGATGAAGGCCAGACGGGGCCAGCCAAGGAGAGCCTGTTGGACCCCAGCTGCAGGGAGGGGAGGGCAGGGCGGCCCAGAGCAGCCAAGGTCCTTCTGGCCTCCGCCCTCCGACCCACCAGGCCATCAATCTTCTCCTGAGGTTCAATTACCCATATCATGACCCTAACAGGCAGCTATAAACCACTGTCGGACCCTCCAGCCACAAACACCCCTGCGCTGACCCCCGGCCTGATGGGGAGGATGGCATGAGGCACGGCCGCTCGGGTACCGCCTTTGATCCATTCTTAATTCGATGGTCCCAAGAGACACCCTCCCTGCTCTTACCCCAGAAGACAGATTAAAAATCAAATCAAGCCTGGCATTTCCTACCAAGCTCCATTCTTGGGGGGGAGGGGGTCTCCACAGCAAGTGCCCTCCAGACTGTCTGGCCCTGCCCCTGACAGGATCCCCGGCATCCTGCCCCCAGCCCCAGAGTGTGAGGGACAGAACGTGCCCCCCAAAGGGCCTGGTGGAGAAACAGCCCGGATGCTGAGCACCTGAGTGCCCCTAACAGTAGGCACAGCGAGTGTAAGCGTGAACATGTGTGTGTGTGTGGGGCAGGTATGTGTCTGTATGGGGTGGTGTGGGGTGTACGTGTGCGTGTATGCTGTCTGTAGTGCGTGTGGTGTCTACGTGTTGTGCATGTGTGCAATGTACACATGCATGTATACATGGGTGTGTGTTCCGTTTATGTGTACCATGTGCATCCGCATCTCACATACACACGTTGTATTTGTGGTATGGGCTGTCTCACACACGTGGTGTGTTCATGTTGTGTGTTTCTGTGTTGCATGTGGTACATCTGTGTTTACACACGTGTGTTACGCTTGTGCTGTGCTGTCCATATGGAAGGTGTGTATTGTGTGTCTGCGTTCCAATATATGTTTGTGTAAACGTGCTGTGGTCCACTTGTATAAGTGTACATGTATCCTATCACATGTGTGGTGTTTGTTATGTGAGGGAGCTACATACATCTGTGTCATCTGTCTGAGGCGCATGTCGTGTGCATGGCATGCATGCATATGTGTGGAGGGCATAATGGGGGCCAGTGTTTCACGTGGTGTGTTTGTATTTATATGTATGTTTCTATACATTGCTGTATGTTGTGGTGTTGTGTATGCATGCATGGTGCACATGCACATGAAGCACATTTGTGTGACTCTGTGTGTGTGTGTGTGTGTGTGTGTGTGTGTGTGTGTGTTTTCCCCTAAGCCTCTGTCTGGCCTTCTCTCCATGTTCCACGGAAGCCAGGCCTGAGCAGCGCCGACTGTCTCTCCCTGCCCCCATGCAGTCCCTTGGCCACCCCAGCCCCAGGGCAGCCCCCCGGCCCCTTCAGCCCCAGCCGCAGCCCCTCAGGCCCCTCACCCTCTCTTTGCCGCTGATCTCCAAAAGGATCTCCTTATCTCTCAGCTTCTTCCAGTAGCTGTAGTACCTGGTGAGCGGCGTGCCCTCGGCCCGCACCTGCTTCTCCCAGGCATCCTGAGGACATACCCGTCGCCTCAGATTCTGGGGATCGTCACAGGACTCCCCTCGGGAGGGTGACCCACAAACTGTGGCTGGTGCCTCAGCCTGGGCTGGCGCGTGCCCACCCCGTGCCCGCCCCTACCTCCCCCAGAGTTTTATTAACGTTCGGCCCGAGCCTGATGCCCTGCCCTGCATCCCACAGGAGGCTTCCCTTCTGTGGCACCTCCAGGGCCTGAGGTGTGGGCCTGGCTCACAGCTGGCTGCTCGAGGCCCAGCTCGGCTCTCTTTACAAAGCAATAAACTTTGGTACCCAAAGCCTCCAGGCAGTGAGTGGCATCCGGGCCCATGAGTGGGCTCCAAGGGGAAGCCTGGATAACTGGGAGAGCAGCCTGCACCAGGGACCCTGTGTGTGGGGGAGGAGGCTGCAGGTGCCAACGTGCTTCCTGTGAGGCACGGGCGCTCATGACTCCGGGGCCCCCAAGAGCAGAGGGCAGAGGCTCTCCAGGCCAGGGCAGACCTATACAGATGTGGCCCCAGTCAAGTCAAATCCCACTCCTCCCTGAACCAGGGCACCCGGGGGGCTCTGGCTTCCTCTCCAGACTCCTACAAATACCAGCCATCTCTAGCTGCCCATCAGCTGCCTGGGCTGGGGCCCCCACTGCCAAGGCCCTGCCCCACCAGGGAAGGGTGTACCCATGCTCCTCTGGGCAGAGGGGACCCCTCCCCGTGCCAGCCAGCGCTCGCAAGCACTCACCACAGCTTGCTGGTTGGACACACCGAAGGCGGCCTTTTGCCGCCGGCTGGAGATGTATGAGACATTCTCCTGTATCTTCTCCAGTAACTGGCGGATCTGCTTACAGTAGTTGGCCACCTTGCAATCCTTCAGGAAGGATTTGAACTGTCACAGGAAACAGGAAGGGGGACAGCTAAAGAGTTTTTGCATTTCCCAGGGCAGATTCCTGAAAACCTCCTCACCCTGGACTCAGAGCAGCTCCCCAAACCCAGAAGCTGCTTCTCAATGTGAGGGGCAGGAGGGCGTCCCCCGCTGCCCACCCAGTCCTCCTGGGACCTCCTCACCCCTGAGACACGGCCTGGCCGGGCTCGGGGACTAGCCCTCTGGGGAGACGACTCTGTGAGCTGGCCCAAGGGACCCTGGGTCTGATAACCACCATCCAAACTGGGCCAAGTGACCCTGGAAGGCCATGTGAGCTGGCCTGAGTGTCCCTGAGAAGGACCATGCCAGCCAGTCAGCCCTGAGTGACCTAGGGCATGAGCCTACGGTGGTAGGGAGGCCCGGACAGGCCCTAGACGAGACAGAATGGTCCCAAACTCATTCTCTGAAAGACCCCAAACTCCCCCCGCACCCCCCCCATCACTGCCAACTCCTAGCCAGGTATCTCAAGGGCCAATGATGGGCATCTGCCTTCTGAAGGAATTCTCCCAGACAGAGAATTCCCCAATACAATCCTCACCAGTCAGAACACCACAAGCAGGGGTGGGAGAGTGCAGGAGGAGAGCCTGGGGAGACCAGGAAAGGTGGGCACCTCCTGGACACCTTAGGCTGGGTCACAAGTCAGTGAAGGACTGGGCCCTAGGAATGCCAACCACAGCCCAGATACACCAGGGGCTGCACGCAGGCCCACTCTTCCTACCGACCTTCTGCAGGGGCCAGGCTTGGGGCTGCTCAGCTAGAGACCCTCACCGTGAAGGGCACCACACTCCTCCTGGGACCCCAGGGTCACAGGCCCAATGACTTCCCATCAGATTTCCCCTAGGACAGCCGCCCTGACGGCCCAACCTCATCGCCTCACCCCTGCACCCCCTCAGGGGCCTGTGAGTGGGTCTGCCTTCTGGAAGCCTCCCCCGCCGCATGGCTGCCTATTACCACTAGGACCCAAAACGCTCATGACCTGACCCTTCCTGCCTTTCCAGTCTTCCTGGCCCTCCCTCTCATACCAGAGAGGCTCCATCCCCTGCCCCTGGACCCTGGCACAGGCTTTCCCAAGGCCCAACAGGCCCCATCCCTCAGGATCCCTCCAAGCTTAGCTCGGGCACCACCTGCTGCCCAAGGCACAGCCCTGGCTCCTAGCACCACTGCCCACCTGGAACCAGCTGAACCTCTGTCTAGACAGGTGGACATGCTGATTCCCCTTACAGAACGTAAGCTTCGAGAGGGCAGGCACCAGTTCGTGTTTGTCTGTATAACCAGTGCCTAAGGCCACAGGCCCGGCACACAGTAGGTGCTGAGCCGCTGGCTGCCTGATTGAGGCTGCAGCTCTATGGCGCCCAGGGCTAGAGGCTGCTCACTGGTAGAAAATGCTATTCTCCCCGAGTTCTGATGAGGTCTGTTCCCACGACATAAATAAACCTGTCCTCACTCTGAGAAAGGAAGCTGACGGTCTGAAGGTCAAAGAGGAAGAAGAGAGAAGGAGATGGAGAGAGGGGAGAGAGGCAGAGGAGATCAAGGGCTCCCGCCATGATGGGCCCACCCTGCCATTCGCACGGACCCTCTGCCCAGGCCTGGACACTGGGGTCTTGACCCAAGAGCAGGTCTCCCCCTGCATGGAAGGAGCTGTCACTGATGTGGAGACCCAGGCCCGGCCGAGAGAGGCGTCATGTGCAGGAAGGACGACTGAAGAAGGTAGTATCAGAACGTGGGTGTGTGTGTGTAATCAGGTATATGAGACGGTAATGACTGCACGTGTGTGTGCGTGTGTGTGTCTGTGTGACAGAGAGGGCGACACTGCCTATCTGTGTGTAATCAGGTATATGAGAGA